AGCGCGGTAGACACCATACCCGGCAGCTGCCCACCCCTCTGCATCACAGAGGGGTCTGTCCACTGAAGACCTTGAGCCAGGAGCCAGGAGCTGCCAGGCCTGGAGGAAGAGGGGACAAATAACATCTGGCCCTTTCAGATTGCGTAAGCCGCCGGGCTGGTGGCCAGATGCGGCCACTGGCCTTCGGCAGGAGGAAGACATCAGAGGTTCACTCGGCGCTCTGCGGCGCTCTGGGCGGTGAGCAGATGTGGCCAGCTGGGGGGGGACGCCCAGCCGCACACAGGGCTTAGCCTGTCCAGAAGCGAGTGGATGGAGGGAGGGTCCCGAGCAGCCACGGCGGGCAGGCATCTGTGCAGGCCTCGGCGGCCGTCCGTGACCCCTGAGGTGGCCTTCTCAAGTCCTGTTTGGAGCTGATAAATCTCTAGCTTGCTCTAACACTGCTAACCTCCTTCCCTAGCGGAGAAAGGGCAGCCTTGCCATCAGCGGAGGCAGGCAGAGGATACGACGGAGCTAGACCCAACTGACTTTTGGTGGTCATCACTTTAGATACTCTACTGGTTTCTTTCTATTTATTGTAAGAGATTCTGGCTCTTTCAGTGTTGGTGACACTCTTTCCCTGTAGGAAGTCTGTGTGAGTAAACAACTGGACCAGTGACCCAACATGCCTTCACCGGGAAGGTTCCATTACCCTCCCACTGAAGGGTCCGCTCCTTCGCAAGGCGGGCGGGGGGACGGCCTCGACCCCCATGACAAAGCCGCCGGGAACGGGAACGTGCTGGAGCGGGCCTCGACCTGGGTGCCGCGGCTGCAAGGCCGATGCTTGCCGGGGCAATCCGAGAACAGAGGTGGCAGGAGGTTGGGGAGCCCCTGGGCTCTGGCCCTGCCCCAACCTGAGCCTTCTCCCTCACCCCAGCTACTGCCAGCTGTATCATTCATTCATCCCTATAAGCTTTGGGTCCGAGAAAATCCTAACAGAACCTTTCATAAACCAGGGGACCCACTGCTGAAGCGGAGGACTTGCGGCCAGGCAATATTCCAGGCGCACCTCCTCTTAGCTTGAACCATGTAAATTGTCCTTTACAGGTCAAAGCTGTCAAAACCCGCAGTTCCCCTTGGTTCGACCTAATATATGCAAGCCACTGGCCACCATCGAAAAGACAAACTAGGGAGGGACTGAGCAAGGTCGGTGAAGCTGGGAGTGGGACCATGGCACGTCCAGCTTCTGGGTGGTGGCCCCCCACCATGCCTGTGCCTTAATCTTTGCCTCCTCTGAGAGACATCAGCCTCCTAAGTCCAGGGAGTGAGCGTCACACATAACAGAACACACAGGCCCCAGCCGGGAGGAAGGGGGCCCAGCGGGGCCTTTCTCAGCCCCTTCCTGCCCGCCCTGGACGCTCGGCTCCGCCCCACCGCCTCCAGTCCCCAGAGGGCTGCTGCCTTTCTCCTCTGCTCAGGTCTCCCACTCTGCTCGGCGCCTGCCCTCCAGGACGCCATCCTGCTGCTGACCCTGCGGGCGCATCCCTGTGAGAGCCAGGCCGTGAGGCCTGCGGAAAGGCAAGGGTGCACTCTGCTCCTGCTTCCTGGCCTGTTCCCCCCAGCGGTCGGTCTGCGGAGGGCAGGGGGGCACTCCTCCTCCCCTCCCTCTTCCCTCCGACCTGCACAGACCCAGGCCTGGGGGCGCACAGGCACACTACAGCCCTTTGCCAAGTGCTGGCGCAGCAGGGCTGAGGCTGTGGGCCCCAGGTGGCCCAGCCCAATGACCATCTTGGGTGGCCGAGGGCGCTGGCACCTTCCTCAAAGGGAAGCAGGAGCGGGGGAGGGAGCCAGGGTGACGGCCAGTGGGACACCCGGTGCCCAGGCAGCAGTACGCGGGAAGCTGTGAGGAAGCGGCAGGCGGGCACTCGTGGAGGAGGCCAACTTCAAGTCGTGGGCGCTGGAGCCAGCGCACTGTGGCCTCCCAGAGAGGGGGCGGGCGCCAGGGCACGTGGCACGCGGCAGACAGGAGCGCTGAGGAGGACGAGCGTGCGCTCTGGTGAGGGGTGTCCCTTCAATGCCCTCTGTGGGCCAAACGAGACAACTGGCCGTTCATGCCGCAGGCGCGGTGCCGAGGACGAGGCAGGACGAGGCCGGACGAGGCCGGATGAGGCCGTCAAGGCGAAGCTTTCAAGGAGCCAGGCTGTAAACAGACAGGGTGTAGCACAGGGAAGCCATCTGGCGGGAAGCTTCATTTTTGTTTTAAGGTTGAGCTGTTCCAGCCTGCTTGTGTGATAACGGGATGACACTGGAGAGCCAGCTGACAGAGCAGTGGAGGGCACACCCCAGGGCCCCCTGGGGAGCGGCTGTTTCTCTGCAGCCACGCTTCATTTCTTGGAAAATTCCAAAGAGTGTCCTCATCTGTCCAGCTCGCCAAGCTGTTCTTGGTGACTTCCTCTTCCCCACTTCACGCCGAGTGGCCTGGAGTCACCTAATGAGCACAGCAGCTGGGCGGACCCCCCCCCACTTGCTTCCCAGCTTTCCTTCTGCCTGGCGGGGCCCCAGAGAGGCGGCCGGAGGCGGCGAGTGCAAACCCGGCTCCCCCACATCCGAGGCCGAGCATGTCACTGGGCTTGCCGGGCTGCCATTTCCTCACCTGCAAAAGGGTCCAGGACTGTGGTCAGGAAAACAGTCCAGTCCTGAGGACGGTGCCTGGCACCCAGTCGGCACTCCGAAAGGCGCAGTGTCACTGTGGCTGACGCAGGAAGCCCCCTTCGAGCAGGCTGGCTCCAGGAGCTGGGGGGCCGGGGACCCGGACACTGGGCCGGCAACTTAAGAATCGTCCCTCCATTTCATTTGCTTGTTAAAACCCTTACGTAGCTGGGGGTTCAAAAGGAAGTTTCACATATTGGGAAGATCTAGACACTGTCTTGCTGAACTCTATTCACAGTTCCACCCTGAAGCCTCTACCTGCTTGCACACCTCCTCTGCCGGCGCCACCCCTGCAGCCCCCCACCCCAGTCTCAGCAGCCCTGTGAGGAAGTTTCTCTCGCCGTGGGTTCAAACAGCCTTCTGTGACTCTCCTCTCCGCTCTCCCCACCCCCTTACAGCTCAAGCACCCTGCGGGGCCACACAACAGGCTCAGGTGTGGCAGTGGGGGGCCTTGCAGCTGTGCCTGCGCCTCCTCGGGCTGCTCTCCGAGCCTCAGGCGTGGAGCGAGCCCGCTGCCCCCTCCCCGGCTGGGCTCACCTCCGCAGCTTGCTCTGCTCGCCACAGACCTTCATCAGTCATAGCTGCTGGCTCCTACGACACAGAGGTCTGGGGTCAGCCGCGGCAGAGCAACTCAGTATGTTCCAACGGACCCCACTCCTACCGCCATGACTTTGAGGCTCTCTACACAGCCACCAGCACCCCAAGGCCCTCAAGAGGCACGAATGGCCCCCACAGCCTGCACCTCGCCCCCTAGCCGCACGCACCTACCCACCCAGCAGACAGGAGCCTGTTTCCCAGAGAGCCCAGCAGACAGCCCGCTGCCTCCCAGTGGCTGCTGGGCAGCCAGGGGCCGGCCATGGTGGTCAGGGTGGGGTTATGCTGCCTAACAAGGGGAGGAGCCACAGCTCCCACCTGCTCTGAGTCCGAAAGCTGCCCGTGGCAAGGTCAGCTGGGCCTGTGAGCTGCCTGTAGGCGCTGGGGAAGCCGTGGCCCATGGGAAGGCAGCGCTGACGCACCAGAGGGCGATGTTGTTCCCGGGGCAACCCCGCAACCCCGCGTTGCTCCAGCGCAGGCAGCTGGTGCATGCTGAGCCCACCTGGCAAGCCCTGGGTGCCCACCTCTGCTCCCTCTCATGGTGCTTCAGCTCTGGCCAGCCTCGCTGGGACGGCCAAGCTCCCGCTCGAGCTCACAGCTTCCTGGCTCTTCTGCCTGCCTACGAGCTGAGCACCGGGACCCACACAGAGATCATGGGCTCCTGTGGCCACCTGCAAGATGGGGTGTGAGCCCCACTGCCAGTTCCTGACCAACCACATCAGGCTTGGAACCAAGGATCCCAATTCGTCCAAGCCCCCACTAGGTACTCCTGGGTGCTTCTGGCTTCCACTCTTGTAGTAGGTCTGTGCAGGCCCAAGAGCTGCCCAGTGACTCCAAACAGGGTCTCTGAGCTGGGTCTTGTTGCCACTAATACTTGATTTGCGTAAATGCACTGTCCCTTCTCTCAAGCTTCACAGTTTCACCATGCAGATCATTCACAATGAATTGTTAGATCCATCTGACTACCAGGAAGAGGTTGAGTAACTGAAGATGCTGAAGAGACGGGTGAAGGTCAAATGTTGTAAAATAAAGGGGTGAAAACTCGTTTAGGAAGTGGCTGGTTCCTTAATGAACATGTTCATGTTATGATGGAGTTCTTTTTCTTTTTCCCCTGACCTTGTGACTTGAGAAATATGGAAAATGAATATTTAAAATGTGAGAACCTTGAAATATCAAGAAGACTGATTCATGGCAGGTTCTTCAAAGCCTGAAAAGAGATGCTTCAATGAAAAGCTTTTAAGGGCAAGAATGGCCTTTGTGATTAAAGTAGCTGCGATAATGAACAGGAATGTCCAGGGCTGGGGGCTCCGAGGCCGCTCGCTCGGCTGAAAGCAGCCAGGTCTCAGCCACTTCCCCACAGCGCCAGATGGCTACCCCGGGCAAACACCACGATCTCCCCGACAGCGCTGAAGGCAGGGAGGTGGGCATTTCCTTCCCGGGGCCTCAAAACCTGCCCTTCGTCCACCGTCACCTGGCGGAAGCTGGATGACAAGTCAGCCCTGGCTACACGTCCCCTGCATCACGGGGCTGACTGCTGCGGAGTCACTGGGTGGAGAGTCACTAGGGCCGTCACAGACAGCCCAGGGCCTTCTTGAGGCGCACCAGAGACAGCGTATTTGCAGAGAAATTGGGGGGGGGGGGAGGCGGGGAGATGATCCTGCAGAAAATTGGCCGAGGCGTCTCCTCTCTCTCAGTGCCCATGTCCTTCTCCCTGCCCACAGGTCAGGGGGCACCCAGCTCCCAACCCTACCACGAGCCAGCCCAGACGCCAAGAGCGATGAGCCTGTGGACAGCGGGCCCAGAGGCCCAGAGGCCCCTCCGGACTGCAGCTCCGGGAGCAGATTCTTTGATGAAGGTTGGTCCCCAGCATGCTCAGACTTGCGCCCAGGTCTCCAGTGGGTGTGACTGTGGCCAGTCTGCCCAGTGCTACCATTCTGCCTCAAGCAGAGTCCCAACTTGCTGAGACGGGGCTTCCAAGCCCACAGGGACGGTCTTTTCCAAGCCTAAAAACACAGCAGCGGGGGAAGGAGGCTTCTTTCTCCAGTGTCCCTGTGTACAGTCCTGGGGCGGGGGGCGCCGATGGGCCAGTCACAGGAAGGGACCTCACAGCCTTCGTGGCTGCACCTTATGGAGCATGGGGTTGGGGGGCAGCGGTGGGGAGCAGGGGGAGCCCCCCTTCCCCCTGGGGACTGATGCCTGGGACCCCATATGCCCATCGCCCTGTTTCTGCGGCAGTGGACGGGCAGCTGTTCCGCTCCGTGGAGGGCCAGGCCGCCTCTGACGAGGAGCAGGAGGAGGAGGAGAAGTGGCGCGAGGGGCAGGGGCCGCCCGAGGTCCGGACACTGCTGGCCCGCCTCTCCAGCCTCGACAGTGGGTAAGTGAGGGGACACGAGTCCTGTCCTCGCTGGCCCTGGGCACTGTGACAGAGCGTGACCTTGGAAGGCAGCGAATGGTTCCAGTCCGGGCACCTCTGCCCCCATCCGGCAGGGAGGTGGGAGAGGCCCCCAGCTCGGCAGAAAGGCCTGCGGGGGCTGCCTCGCTCCTCCCGGGCCTGGGCACTGTCCCCGACAGGCCCCTGCTCCGTGACTGCGGGCACGCCAGGCACCCGCCTCACCCTGTGCTGTGCGACAAACGCTGTCGGCAGCGCCGGTCTGGCCTGGGGCCGGGCTGGCGCTTTCTGGCCGCTGAGCTCGGTGAAACCTCAGAACCACCGGGAGAGGGGAGCAGGACTGGCCGGGACACGGGGCGGGGCGGGGCGCCTAAGACTGGCTGCTGGCTTCTCGGCCTCGTCTTCCCGCCTCTAAAAGAAGCCGCCTGTCAGCGGCGGCCTGTGGCCAAAGACCCCAGGGGGCCGCGCTCTGGGGGCGCCGTGACTCCCCAGTTGGACTGCCGGTGATTCTCCGGGGTGGCTGTCCGCACTGACTCTACGTCAGCATTTCACGTAGGAGCGCCGGTGTGGTGAAGTGCGATACCAGCCCAGGGCACTGGGAGACAGAGACAGACAGACAGCAGCCCTCTCTGGGCCCCGGGCCAGCACGCCAGCCAAACATGAGGAAGGGGAAGGGGCAGAGGAAGCCTCACAGGGAGATGCCCCCCGCCCCTCCAAGGCGGCTCTGGGGTTGCACTCCAAGCAGGGGCCTGGAGGAAATGAGGGAAGAGCATTCCCGAGAGCTGGAGTAGCAAGTACAAAGGCCCTGAGGGACGTGGGGGCACGGGGAGGCCTCTGAAGCTGGAGCAGGGTGAGTGGAGGCGAGTGGGGTGCAGATGAGGCGAGGCCTCTGGCTTCTCCCCTGAGAGGGTGCAGCGGGGGCGGAGTGTGGGGTGCAGGCCCACTGGGGGGCTGGGGCCCACGCCGGCAGCGGTTCCCGCCTGCTGCCACTCTCCTTTCGCCGCAGGTGCGACGACCAGACGGCCAAGAAGCTCATGACTTACTTCGGCCACTGTGGCGGGGCCGGCCACGCTCGGGCACCGGGCGGGCTGGAGGCCCGCATCGCCGCGCTGGTGGAGGGACTGGAGAGCCGGGCCCCCACAGGGAAGACCGCGGGGCCGCCCGAGGAGCAGGTCAGCTGAGCCCCAGAGGTGGAGGACTAGGGCCACCCTAGGGTCCTTGCGAGCTGGGAGGGCGCCGAGGCACCTCAGCCAAGTCCTGTGTGCGTTCAGAAGTGAGTAAACCAAGGCTCGGCCACGCGACTTCCTCTGCTGGAGAGTATTTTGGTTGTAAGTTAAAGGGTCCATCCCAGATCAGCCTGAGTGCAAACAGGCAGTCTCAGGACATGGAGTTGGGAAGAGCAGCTGAGACGAGCTTCAGGCATGGCTGGTCCAGGCG